TCCCCTCCTCTCTCTCTCTCTCTCTCTCTCTCTCTCTCTACCACTCATTACTTTTCAACTGGTTCACAGGCAACTTATGCATCGTCTCCGAATCTTAGCTACTCTCTGGCAACTGCCACGAGGCTTGTCAAACTCTCCCCCGCGTCGTAACTTGATAGCTGCCCCTAGTAGGTTCAACAGCAATGTAGAGCCAAACTCTCACAACATATTGGAACGGGTTGCCCCGAAAATCAACGATTCACTACCTTTGTCACAAGTCTCCAGCAACTCCAGCAACTCTAAGGGCGATGTGCCAGACTCCACCTCTGACGTGATTAGAAGAACAACCCGCATGGATGGCGTCTTAAAAGTGGGCAAAAAAGACTCGATCTGGGCTGGAAAAGAGGAGTTATACTTGCATATGGATAGAAGGACAACGATCAAACTACCATATACTTACCTGCGCGACTTGTGCCAGTGTGTGGTGTGCAAGGATCAACACTCGAAGCAACGATCGTTCCGCACAAGTGATATTCCCAAGGACATTGCTCCAAGTTCGGTTAATTGGAATGGTAGCAAGCTTTCAGTCAAGTGGGCCAACGACATCGGAGGTTCTCAAACTACGCATGAATCAACCTGGGACCGTGACTTTCTAAAAAAGCCCATTTTCAACACCCATCGTCAGCACTGGTCCTCGAACTCCAAACCGATCATGTGGGGACGGGATCAAATGGACAGAAGTCAGCATTGGGTGTCTTACTCGGACTACATCGCTGATGATTCCAAATTTGCCTCCGCGATGCAGAATTTGCAGCGTCTGGGCCTTATTTTTGTGAAGGATGTTCCAGGCTCACGATCGATGGTTGAAGCCATTGCAACACGCATGGGGCCACTACGGAACACCTTCTACGGATCAACCTTCGACGTCCGCACTGTTCCACAGGCGACAAATATCGCATATACTAATCAGTTCCTTGGATTTCACATGGATTTGATGTACATGAACGAGCCACCGGGATACCAGCTCCTCCACTGTCTGGAGAACTCATGTTCGGGGGGCGAGTCGTTGTTTGCGGATACCTTTTCTGCTGCGAAACTCATGAAGGAGCATTACCCGGAGGATTATCCAGTGCTTCGCGAGCAGCGTCTGGGATACGAGTATAGGCACAAGGAGCACATCTACTACAACGAGCGACCCGTCTTTGAGCATGATGCCGATACAGGCGAGCTGGACCACGTTAATTATTCGCCCCCCTTTCAGTCTCCCCTCCCACCAGGTGACGGGGAGGGCCATGATGCTGGCCTTGTAAATAAGCTACGAGACGCTCTTGCGAAGTTCACTTCGATTATCGACAACGAGAAGCACATCTTTGAGCTCAAGCTCAACCCTGGGGATTGCGTTATCTTTGACAACAGACGAATCGTTCATGCCCGCCGCCAATTCAACGCCAGCGTAGGATCTCGCTGGCTAGCAGGCGCCTATGTGGATACCGATGCTCTGCTATCCCGATTTGCTGTATGTAGGAATCAGCATCCGCATTTTTGGACGAGAAAGGCCCAGAAAGCCTTGGCAGCCAACAACGGCGAAAACAACTATGGCAAAAGAAAAGCATCTGAAAAATCAAAAATCTAGCAGAGTGGTCAAAGAGGAGTGAAGGAGATAAGGAATAACTAGAGATTGACCAGGTACACGAGAGCAACACCGAAGAAAGCTTAATACAGAGGACGAAGATCGATCGACCCAACGTTTCAACAATACCTTGGACTCGTCATGATCTCCAACTTCCTAGTAGCTAGAGATGTGATGTGTTGTAAGTCTTGATTGTTCCAAGTTCTCGATTCCTCATCGTTGTTTACATATGTAGATCCAGATGTTGCAAACGTATTGTACTCCTCTTCTTGGAACCGAGAGCAGCTTCAGCGCAATCACTCAACACAGTCATTGGGTATATGGTAGGTTGAACTAACAGTGTAAGCCTGTGAAGAGAAAGTGATGAATCTGTAAAAGTCGACAGAAATGATCTGTGACAATGGATCGGTTTTGTTTGGTGACGCTTGTTTCAAGTTATAGCAAGGCATTTTCCTGCAGCAATGCGAAGGATACGATATGGTCATATATGCAATAAGCCGTACAAGTCAAACACGTTTATCATTATGTTAGACTTTTAGCATCTAGCCCCAAAGACAGGGTCATGGGTATCGCGCAACGATCAACCAATCATTCACGCAGCCGCAGTAGGCTTGCTGACTGAGTGATCTGTGAGAAAATCGGGGTTGCTGTTGATTTCCTCGCGGACCTGTACCATTGAGTTAAGATCAAATCAAATGACTGGAGTGGGGATCAAACACCTACAATGTCCAAACCACCGACTAATTCTCCATTCACCCACAATTGGGGGAAAGTTGGCCAATCAGCATACTCCTTCAGACCCTGGCGTACATCCTCATCGGCCAAGATATTGAAGAAGCCATACTTGACACTGCGCTCGCGAAGAATGCCAACGAGTTGCCGACTGAATCCGCACTGTGGGCTACTTGGGGTTCCTTTCATGAACAGCATGACAGATGCCGCCTTGACAAGTTGTTCAAGTCGGGCAAATAGTGCCTCCCGGGATTGTTCGGGTGTCAAGGTGGGGGTAGAGGCGACGGCGGTTGCGTTAGCCGCATCAGCAGCTGGGGACTTGGAAGCGGTAACAGGTGCCTGAGTAGCAGTAAAGGGACCGTCCTCACGAGGAACAGCAGAGAGTGGCGGGGGGATGTTAGCCTTCACACCTTCCATCGGACCGACGGCACCGGCAGCATTTCCGCGGCCAGCATGACGCTCGACAGCGTCACGGACCTTGACAGCATCACTTCCACTGATAGACTCCAAAATTTGGCCGCTACGTAGGCACACAACGAAGGGCACGGCAGAAACATCATACTCCTCCGAGATATCAGGTAGCTCCTCGGCGTTGATGCTGACAAACGAGATGGTGGGCCGGGTAGTGGCGGGGTACTGCGAAGCGAGGGCTGAGAGCACTGCGCCCATCTGCGCGCACGGGGCAGCCCATGGAGTGTGGAAGTAAAGAACGACCAACGCAGAAGGTGATAGGGAAGAGAGATGCGACGAGAAGTCTGCCTCAGATGTGATTTCGGTGAGTGTCGACATGGTGGAGCGTGTGTAGGTGAGACGGCGGGAAATTATGGCAAAGCCTGGAATCGGCGATGAAACGTATTCTGCAAAGATAAGGTCCAACAACTAGTAGAGTGAGGTCAAAGTCGAGAAGCGAAGAAGACGTGGCAGAGCAGTGGCGTGATGGATGCCCAAAATAAGCCCTCCTGCACGGCGATCCCAGATTTCCAATCTTCCAGTTATCAGATCGTTCGGCGTCTCTGGCGTCTCTGACGTGCCGTTTTCTGGTTGTAAGCTGGAGAAGTGACGGACACTGGAGAATCTCTTTTCCGAACTCCACGTGACACAGTCCCGGGCAGCACGTGATCTTATCGTGTATCAGGATGAATTTCTACTTTGCGAGTCCAACGAGGAAACGTTGAATCCGAAGACATCATGGGAAAGGACAGGAAGAGAAAGCTTAGCCCAGATGACCCAACTGGGTATTCCACGTCCCATGCACTCGGTGTGGCCGATATCTTGACCCGTCTGCAGAGCGATAACCCTAGCAGGGAAGGCTCGAAAGGCACCCATGCGTCAAAAAAGCGCAAAAGAGTTGATGGCGAGAAAGTCAAATACCCAGATCTCACATATGCCGATGGAAAATTAGTGTCACCCATCCGAATTGCCGATCTTCAGGGGCTGCTCCTCTACTGCTTTGCCGACGGCATTGCACCCCAATGGATTTCCATGAAGCACTCCGGCCATGTGCGCAAGGTGGTTGTGCTGATGGTTCCTGGCTTAGAGATGGGCATGTTTGATGGGACAATATCTGTGCAACGAGAATCATCCACCAGGGAGCATGATACACAGGAGCGCTTGACCACCGCGGAAGTGCCTGACGAACACGCTGCTGATTACGAGCGATGGAAACAAGGCCTCCCGTTGCCGGACCGCTCGCATCGCTTCAATCCTCGTTCAATTACACGCCACAACCTCCCTGAACCACTTCAGCCCCTTGCTGACATCTTTCCCCACATCTGGCCTGTCAAGGCGCCCGGTGATAACAAATACAACAAGGTCCATTCGCCACTACAGGCGATTCTCATGTCCTCGTCCCCAAAGACCAAAACCGATGACTCCCGTGTGAAGGGTGCACGGCCCGCCAAAGTCGAGAAAGGCTTCGTTCCGAAACGAACACCAATCACAGCCTATGTCACCTCACGCGAGGATCTACTCGAGAACGATTTTCTCTTGCATCCCGTTTTCTTCTCTTCCGACGAGGAAAGATCTTCACAGTTGGAGGCTCGTCAGCGAGGCAGACAATCGGTGGAAGATGGATGGGTGGATACTCATGTTCCAACTCTGGAGTCTGCTCAACCACCTGATGCTGAAATTGAAAGTGGCAGTGTCACTGCTGGTCGAGATGTTTTTGCGCTTGACTGTGAGATGTGTATCACCGAGGGTGGTCAGTCCGAACTTACACGCATCAGCTTGGTCGGTTGGGATGGCGAGGTGGTACTTGATGAACTGGTCAAACCAGCACGGCCGGTGATCAACTATCTCACACGCTATTCTGGAATTACCCCAGAGATGCTGGAGCCCGTTACCACGACCCTTCATAGTATTCAGCAACGGCTCTTAACTCTTCTCACGCCGCGTGCGATACTTGTGGGACACTCCCTTAATTCCGACCTTACAGCACTCAAACTTGTTCACCCGTTCATTGTCGATACCAGCATAATTTATCCACACCCGCGTGGTCCGCCACTCAAATGTAGCCTGAAGTGGCTCACTCAGAAATATCAAAACAAGCAGATACAGAACGGAATGGCCGGACACGACTCCATTGAGGATGCCCGTGCTGTTCTTGAGCTTGTGAAGTTGAAGTGCGAGAAAGGCGAGCGATGGGGCACAGGTGATGTTTCAAATGAGAGCATATTCCGCCGACTATCGCGCTCCACTCGGCCTAGTCATCTCCCTCGTCCCGGCGAGGAAAGAACAGGAGCCGTAGTTGACTGGGGCAATCCAGAACGGGGCTTTGGTGCCCAGGCAACTGTCTCGATTGGATGTCGGGATGATGATGCAGTTGTCAGCGGTGTCTCGGCGGTAATCAACGGCGATGAGTCCAATCCCTCCATTCCAGCAGGTGGTGTTGACTTTGCATGGGCTCGCATCCGTGATCTCGAATATCTTCGTGGTTGGTGTAGCCGTCTCCCCGACCCCAACAACGCGAACGAATCTACAGCCCTTTTCCCTCCCCCCGAAGAAACCACACCCACTACATCCACTTGCAGTGGGGACTCGACAGATCAACCGCAGCCTGACGTCTTGGCTGACACTGTATCCCGGACAGTCTCCAACATTTCACGCATTTATGACGCTCTCCCTCCTTGTACCCTCTTTATAGTTTATTCCGGAACAGGTGATCCACGTGAAGTTAGCCGTTTGCAATCCATTCACAAGAAGCACCGCGAGGAGTTCCGATCTGGCAAGCGTTGGGATGAGCTGACATACAAATGGACTGACGTTGAGGAGCAGGCTCTCAAAAAAGCCTGTGAGCGTGCTCGTGAAGGTTGCGGCTTCATGTGCATCAAATGATTTGGCTTGAGCTATATGCGCATGCACCCAATCTCTTCTTGGCTAAGGTGATGATTGGTATCCCGCCTCGATCCCCGTTGCTCTATGGTCCACTCATGCTGCTAAGATGAACTCGATGTGTCGGTTTTACCACATTTCAATTGGCAGTGAAATCAGAAGACTCAAAACGAAAAAAGGGATTGTTCCTTGGCTGGTGGGAAATGGGATACAGTTCTAGAAAGATAATTTGGTAGAATCTACACTTCATCTTCATGTCACGTGAAACGAGTGCCAACGTAACTCGACGTACAAACCCTGAAAGCCATAATGTTGACATTCATATTGTCATTCATATACACACTAACAATTTACCCATGTCATTGCCCTATGCACGTATTCCGTGTTGATCATCTTGAACGTCGGGGGTAATTAAGGACCCCACCGGAACTGGTGGGGCGAAGGTGGAAGCCCTGGAGATTTCTCCCGACATCAACCGAGACCAATCTCTTGCGCGATGAATCCCTTCACACGGGCAACTGCAATCTGGCACCCAGTTGGCCTTGCGTCCGAGTTCCCGAGCATCGATGATGACACCCGGATTATGCCAAGATGCAAGGCTTTCAATATTCCCAAGACAAACGGCGCCATAGAGCCAGTCGAAGATATTGATCTACCAGGAGAACTTAAGGATCAAGTACTCGTGTTCAAATACAAGGGAAAATACCATGCCATCGATCATGTGAGTCAAGAGGTTTCTTCAAATGGGAAGGATTGGGCTCATCCGTTTTAGCAATGCCCCCACTCGTCTTTCCCACTTTCACGAGGCAACCTCTTTGACATTGAAGACTTTGGCATCGTGCTCAGCGCAGGTCTCACATGCCCTAAGCATGGCTGGTCGTTTGATATATTTTCTGGCCGCGCTGATCGCGGGAACTACACACTCAAAGTATGGGAGGTGCAGCTACGCGACTCATCGGCACCTGGGGGTACGGACCAAGAGGTTTGGGTGCGGAGGAAACAACGAATTGGTTAACACTGGTCACTCTTCCCATGTTTATCAACAGAAGGGCACCTTAACTGATCTGCCCTGAGTAGGGTCCTAGATACAGCTTGACACTAGGGTTTTCCCTCAGCGAAAGATATCTTCGAACCACTCCATAACCACGTGGATCTCACTCGAGTGATTAATCCAAGAAATTCAAGCTACGTCTTGCGTATTTTAATCGAACTATTCAAGTGTTTATCCTTACATAAGTAGCTTGTCGGTCCCTTGCTAGGATTTTGGCTTGAAGATGGCTCAGGTATCAACCCGGAGGAGTTCTCACAGCTTTGCTCTTTCGGTGGTTGCATTAGCCTCAAAGTCATTTTGCAGAGGAACCTAGGGATGGGGGCAAAGATAATGAAGCTGTTATCGGGTGTAGCATGCTTTAGTGTGGTTATCTCGTTGCGTTGAGATCCCTGAGGTCTGCTTGTCCAGACCCTGTGTAGGGCCTAGAATTCCGAATGCTCCGGTGGATGATCAGACCCATTCTAAGAGGATTTCTACAAGTGACTAGTCTAAACTATAGCGTTGTGCGCCATCTATTAGAAAAAAGTGAACATGCAGCTAATCCGGGATTAGTGAGCTATTGTGTGACTACATATGTGTTGTACTGTACGTGGTGGCGGAAGGGATATAATCAGCCATGCGAAGGATACCGGATCTACCACTTGTAGAATGGCTGAGATTCGGTAGTTCATTTTTTCACCAGCTATTTTACACAGAAATCAAGAACTTCGATGGTTCATCCTAGAGAAGACTTGCAATTCGGTTGGTCAAATCCACATCTCAATGCACGCTCCTATCGCCACGCACTGGCTTGGGTATCACGAGCTGGGATTTAGAACATAATACTCCCTGTCCGCGACATGGTTATGTTGACCAGGATTAATGGGCTGATGATCTTTCGTGTAATTTGCTTTTGTGGGAGGCTCTGATCCCAGCGCAATTACTCTGAAAGTGGCTCTTAGGCGGCCAACTACGGAGAGGACAGAGATAAAGACACTGCTGTAGAAAGAAGTAGTACCACGACTGGAGAATAATTCATCAGCGAGATTTTCGATGCAGTTGGGAATCACATCATCTTATTCTGTGGTGGATAGGAACTGATGAGAAAGTGAGTTGGACAGATCGTTGGAGGTGAGACAGAGAGGGAGTCTCTCTTAGGGC